AGTTTTAATAAATTATCTCTGTTCTCCATCTTCTTGGTTTACAAGGATGGTTTTGGCTGTGTATGCTTATAATTATCGTAAACCTCTTACCTGTTTAGTCTGTTTTTAAAGCCAACCAACTTCCTTCGAAGTACGTTTACAATTTCTGTTTATCTGTGGGAAATTCTTGCATTTTAGAGTAAATGGATACCTCCACAATGTTTATTATACCTGGGTTGAACATTCTCTCCACCCCCACCCCCCTTTCTGGCATTCTACAGAATAGTCAAGTGCCTTCGCTGCAAACCTTGCACGCAATTGTCTCTCACTTTCAAAAACTGTTTGATGTGAACTCGTTGAAAGGAGTTTATCCTCGAATGAATGAAGTTTACACAAAGCTTGGAGAAATGACCAATGCAATGAGAAACCTTCATGAACTCTTACAACTAGGTATGGTAGCAGGTATTAAATATATTACCTTTCCACAGTAGCATACAACAATAGCATCCATCCATATCTCCTTCCCCCTTGTAATTGATCAAAAACAGTATAGGTAAACTAGACCTTAGTTATAAGGAACCAATTCTCTGCCTTTTGGAAGTGCCGTATGAAGATACCTCAAGGTCCTCAACTATTGCATGTATATAATTTTGCAGTCTCCAAACCAAAGGCCGATCAGGTCCATGCCTGCCTAATAAACTTTAATAAGTGGTGTCGCCTCGGATGCTCCTGGACTGTTAACTGACCCTTCAACTAAGTAGCTTTTAGAAAGACAAGTAGAGTGATGCCCTTGACTGCATAAAACGTGTGCAGTACCAAGCATTAGCTCCTGGCATTTTATGTACTTAATCTGCAGCATTCTGCAACTAGGTGACATACTTGATTGAATGTCAAAGGAAACTTTAATATCCTTTGGATTGTGGAAAAAACCCCCCCCCAATAGGAGTGTTTCCAATGAATGCTATTTTGTTAATTTTGTTTGTCTTGCTTTTGTAATGGCCTCTTGCCTAAAGGACCTAATTTGCTCCTAATTTCCAGGGCCTGAGGCATATCACAACAGGAGGAATTCTTTAGACTTCCCAAGGGTGTTGTGCTGCCCCTTTGACTTCCTCAGTTCATCTCTATGCACTTTGCCACTCTGATTTTATGTATCCCTAATTGTGTTCTGGTGGAGCTGCGGTGGCTCAAGTGCTTAAGACGCTGAAGTGCAGGCTGTGGAAGGTCGGTAGTTCAGCAGTTCGAGACCCGAGTGTGCCGCATGACGGAGTGAGCTCCCGTCTCTAGTTCCAGCTCCTGCCAACCTAGCAGTTCGAAAGCAAGAAATTGCAAGTAGATAAATAGGTGCCACTTCGGTGGGAAGGTAACAGCGTTCCGTGCGCATTGGTGTTTAGTCATGCCGGCCACATGACCACGGAAACGTCTTCGGACAGTGCTGGCTCTTCGGCTTTGAAACGGAGATGAGCACCGCAACCCTAGAGTTGGACTCGACTGGCTTTCGAGCAAGGATGACAATAACCTTTACCTTTACTTTAATTGTGTTTTAAATATTTGTTTTAAAGCAGTGTCAGACATGGAACCCCTATGAGATAACACCAGAAACCCAGACAGAGATCCATATCACAGTCTTGTAGAATTGGGGCTTAGTGGTTGGCTCCATTTTTGGAGTGAAGGGAGGAAACGTTTCTATCAGGGGCCTGGGAGACTGCACTCTGAGATTACCGAGGACGCTGTTTCTAGTAGGAGATGCTGGAGGGGTTTGTTATAGGTGCATGACTTTCACATGGTGATGATTCTTGGGTTTTCTCATTGCTGCTGATTGGGGTTCCACACGACAGGTTTCCCTCCATTTCCCTAGCCCTAGTCCTCCCATGGTACCCATTCCCCTCTCAGGGGAGGTCTTTTTCAAGGCAGCTTCATGTATTCGCCCTTTTAATCATCAGTTGCTGACTCACTGTAGCATGATGCTATAGCAATATGTCAATTAATGACTTAACAATCCCCCCCCACCCGCCATCTAGTGTCATGGAGGTGAGGAATGGCTTTCACAGGGGAATACAGCAAGGAAAACAATGCCAATGTGGGAGGGACTGGCAATGATCCCGACTTTCCCAAGGGCACAGCAGTCTCTCCAACGTTCCTGCAACCGCTCTAAAAATATTGTAGCAAAGAAGGTTTAAGGATGATTGCAGGGTAGCTGGGGAAAGTGCTGTGGCCGTCGCCTGACAGAATCAAACCTTCTGACAGTCATCCTTCTTTATTCCTTAGTTTCCAAAAAAACCCACCCATCCCTTCAGGAGTTCCTGGTTAGTAGCAGTAATGGATACTATATTGTATAGTGTGCGTAACATGTGTGTATTATATGCAAGTGTGTATAGATGTATAGCATTCATCTCCATGGTATGGCATAGCTTCATGATTCATGGTTACGTGTAAGTAGCATTCAAAATACATCTCCAAGCAGCATCCAACAGAAAGAAGGTGGAGAAACAGGCCTGTGTGCCATTCTGTTTCGGTCAGTGTTGAAATGTGTCCCCAGACCTTCTCCTCCCACTTTGCTCTTCAAACTTAGGGGCTTTTGGCAGTGATTCCTGTTGTTTGTGTAGCTCAGAGTGGTTTGTTAGCAAGAGCTCTAGACTTCGAACTTCACAGTTGTCTTGATCTCAGGTCCTAGCCAATATCTTTGTGGTGGAATAGCTTCATGATTCGTGGTTACATGTAGGTAGCATTCAAAATATATCTCCAAGCAGCATCAAACAGAAAGAAGGTGGAGAAACGGGCCTGTGTGCCGTTCTGTTTTGGTCAGTGTTGAAATATGTTCCCAGACCTTCTCCTCCCACTTTGCTCTTCAAACTTAGGGGCTTTTGGCAGTGATTCCTGTTGTTTGTGTAGCTCAGAGTGGTTTGTTAGCAAGAGCTCTAGACTTCGAACTTCACAGTTGTCTTGATCTCAGGTCCTAGCCAATATCTTTGTGGCGGGTTGGAACAGCGGAGAATTTCAGTCCATTTCTCTTTTGAAAATGGCTTTTATATATTAAAAAATGGGTTTATATCTGTCTTATAAGTTTTAGGCCTTCCTTAGTGTAACAACACCCTGTGGGGAATTGATCATGGTTATTCCTTTATCTTAAGATGCAGATGGCGGGATGGTAAATGCTCCAGTACACAGTATTGACTACCACTTGGTGTTTGTTCAGCGGTTTGGTGTAGGAGACACTGGTCAAGACCCAGTGATCATTGTTAGCTGGGATATAGATCAGTTCTTGGAAGTTATCAAATTTATTAGTAAGAGCTTTCGGCTGAGTGATGATTATACATGTGGTCTTCTAGAGCAGCAAGATCTATTGTGGAGTTGTAATTTTCTGATTTGTAGGCAGTATAGAATCCTGTGAAGGAAGGATGCAAACTCGCTTTTTTTTTTTTAAACAACAACAACATCTGTTCCGTTAATGATATAAGGGCAGTGTGTTTTGATCTGGTTGGTATTAAGGAACATTATGGTTTACATACAGTACAATGTTAGCCGTGGCACAAACAATTCTGTTCATCAGAAACTGATGTGGTCTCTTCTTAGATGGCTCAGCCCCTCCCAGTGTCCTGGTGAACACTGTTGGAAAACTATGCAGTACACTTAATGAGAATGTGACCTGGCAGGTAGAGCAACTCCTGGGAACCGAAGACATCCAAAGGTAAGCATAATTATCAGTAACCCTTGAATGATAAACTCATTCTACAGAGTGCCAAAAGGTGGTACTTGGTCCTCTTATCCAACACTCAGAAGTCAGCAGTGCATCTTGTCCCAATTGGACTAAATTTAGAAGAACCATAAAGTTGCTACAGTGTGGATTCCCCCCGCCCCGCCGCCACTACTCTGTATACGGAGCCTGAAGGCTTTTTTTGTGCAAGATCTGCCTATGTGGTAGCTACTCCTTGGTAGCTGAGCAAGTATATCAAGACATTGCTAAGCTACTGCTGGAATAATATCTGACTTTACACAGATAAAATAGCCCTTGGGGCCTATCATGTTAACTAATGCTGCAGTATCTGATCCTAGTGCTAAGAAATGGTGTTTAGGATTTAATATTGTACTCATGATCCTGTGCCCAGTGTGGCAGCACCGGCACATGGCACTGTTCCATTAGAGAACAGTATGCAGCTTTGTCCTGCTATAATGCTGTTTAAATTGTAGCCTCATAACACGGCTGCATCAGCTCATCCTAGCTCACCTCCAGCACTGGTTTTAGAACACAATTTCAAAAAAGTTACAAGCAGGGGTGATTTCCTGCAGGAGCGCACAGGAGTGGAGCTCCGGCAGTAAAGAGCCCAGGGGGCGGGCACATGCAACAAGCCCCACCCCCTGCTCCCAGCAGCCCTCAGTCAGAGCAAGAAGCAGCCAGGTAAGTTGCAGAGCTCCCCCCTGGCCCAAAACAGTCCAGTGGCACCTTTAAGACCAAGTATTATTCAGATACAAGCTGCCCCTCCTCTGCGAGGACTGTTCCATTAGAGAACAGTATGCAGCTTTGTCCTGCTATAATGCTGTTTAAATTGTAGCCTCATAACACGGCTGCATCAGCTCATCCTGGCTCACCTCCAGCACTGTCCAAGGCCACACCATAGGTTTTAGAACACAATTTCAAAAAAGTTACAAGCAGGGGTGATTTCCTGCAGGAGCGCAGCTCCGGCAGTAAAGAGCCCAGGGGGCGGGCACATGCAACAAGCCCCACCCCCTGCTCCCAGCAGCCCTCAGTCAGAGCAAGAAGCAGCCAGGTAAGTT